TATATATATATATATATATATATATATATATATATATATATATATATATATATATATATCTTAAGTAAATTTAGTTAGTGTTTATTTAAAAAAAAAAAAAAAAAAAAAAAAAAAGAGGAAAATAGCAAAACCCGAACCCGACCCGAACCCGACCCGAGATAACCGGGTACCCGGTTGCCGGGTACCCGGTTATTTCGGGTCGGGTTCGGGTAATTTTTTTTTTGCAAAAAACCCGAATAATCCGACCCGAATAACCCGAATAACCCGACCCGACCCGAATGCCCACCCCTAGTCGCGATGAAGACGCATCTAAATCCTATAAAAATGGAGTACAATGGTTAGACAAACTGACGCGGAACGTCGAAATTGTATTGGAATTACAAAAATAACAACTTAATTTCGGAGAATGGTTATTAACTGGCCTTGGTAAAAATATCGAAGGAAATTATGGGGAAAATAAGGTTTTTTTCGGACTCAAATTGTATTTGAGTACGAAAGGCCCAAGGAACAAAACTGATGAGGAATGCTCATGAATCACGTCAGATTTCAGCAAACCAACATCGTTTAGACTCATAAAACTCGTTTTTTATATTTTGTGAAGTTTTAGAAAATTAATATCAAATCACAGAAAATTCGAATTAGGGTTTCATAAACTGGGTTCCCAGAATTACGAGATCTACAAGAACCAGACACAAACTAATTTTTTTGCAGTTTATAATAATTAGTATTTTCTTAATTTAATTAGAGTTTTCAATTTTATTACTATAAAAGAGCTTGTCGGAACTCTGAAATAATCCTTCATTAGATTTCTCAATTTTATTTGTGTGGATATACATAATGTGTGTGAATGATTGTAAGTATATCTTGGAATAAGAACCAGCTTCACTGACATTTCACCCTTTCCTTTATTTCTGCAAAAAAATATGGACTCTTCTAAATCAATACTGACTTCTCAAACACTGAACATGCATGCATGCAAGCATGTACTTTATATTATTTGTACATATGTTCAAATAGATGGCCCCCAAATTAAGATATCATAATTAATAAAAAAGAATATAATTAATATTTGATGGCTCATATAAGACAAAGATGATAAAATTTTGATAAAGTGGGACATATATTTTATAGGAAATACGAGAAATTCCCTCAGATAAGGTCTAATTACGAAAATTCCCTCATGTCTGTGTAATTACGAAAATCCCCTTGAGATATGTTGGGGTCTTAGACAGCCCCCTATGGTGTTATTTTTGACGAATTTTTTTTGATCCATGGAATATTCATCTGAAAATGATTTTTTTATCCTAGATGGGTAATTGGCATATCATATGATTTGGTGATGGATGGGAGATGCTCTTAGGGGTAAATTGTTATACTATTCAAAAAAACCGTTATTATTTTTAATTTTAAAACTATAATGTATTTCTTCGTAATATAATTATTAAAAATATAAAATATATATGAAAATGAATTAAACATATCTTGTAACATTAAAAGTTCTTATTTGTTTTGTCCTTTTTAATAGTTTTGTATTTGAATAAACTCGATTTTATTTTGGAAAAATATTCTCGTATTTTTTATTTTAGGTTACAAATAATTTCATTATTTTATTATAAACTTTTATTAATATTTCAATTTTAAACAAATGAAATGCAAAAGATGTATATTAGATTTAAATAAAAAAAAATTGCAACCCAATGCGACCAGAGAAGTCACTGTTTTTACTTCTTTCTTCTGAGGATAGTAGGGTAATTGTCAATTCATTATCTTATTGGTCAAAAGTAATACCGTAGGGGTCTGTGCTAGGGGTCCGTGCAGGGGCGGCACGAGGATTTTTTGGTTGGGGGCCGAAAACTTTAGAGAGTTAATAATAATATGGCGAGGGTTCGGGGACAGCGCCCCGAAATTGTTTAGGGATATTTATGAAAAGAAAACCAACACAAATAAGTAATGAGTAATAGATATTGTTGTCAAAACGATATTCATATATAAACTTATGTAAAATAAATTGTAATATAGTATACATTTAGTTGAATAAGTAAAAGTGTTTAAAAAAAATAAAAAATCTTGATATACATAGAAATTCAATAGATTGAAAACTTTAAACATTGAGAAAAAAAAAAAATTATGGGGGGGCAACAACTCCTGCCCCATAGAAGCTCCGCCAATGGGTTTGGGATTTTTGTAATTAAGCAAATTATGGTGAGATTTTCGTAATTAAAGCTTACCTCGGAGGTTTCTTGTAATTTACTATTTATTGTTTTCCAAATGACATAGAGGTAAAATGCACAATACATATTCTGAAATGCTATTCATAGTGCAACTTTTACCGCCTTGCAGTGCGATTTATTTCAAAAAAAAAATTGTCCGCTATTTCGTGTATTACTACACGAAATCCACTCAATAATTTTGTGTATTTTTACACGAAATATAAGTGTTTATTGTCATAGAACACGAAGGACGAAACTGTTGGCTTGAAAAAATTCACCTATTTCGTGACAAAACCCACGAAATTGTACATCATATTTCGTGGATTTTCCCACGAAATTATACCTTACAATTCGTAGATTTTTCCACAAAATATAATGTAATGTTTCGTGAAATTCAGTACGAAATCATTAATTGATTTGTTTTTTAATTAACCAATTTATTTCAGACACTCAAATTGACCTAAAAATTCAAATACAAATACAAATTGAACTAGAATTCAAATACAACTACAAATTGATCTAAATTTCAAATACAAATACAAATTCAACTAGATTTAAGATACAACTACAAATTGATCTAAAATTCAAATACAAATACAAATTGAACTAGAATTCAAATACAGCTACAAATTGAACTACCGACCAGACTTTAATTGTTCGTACAAGAGTAGTTGGGGTTTGTACATTTTGAGTAAGTGCCTCAGGTTTTTAGCTCTATGGTGTACCCATGCCGGATGGATTGGTGGTAGAGGACTATTCGCGACCAAATTAACAAACATGAAATGATTGTTGTGCAATGTCACAACAATCATACATGATAAGTGACCACTGCCAAACATAGGAAGGTAAGTCATACTCCCTACTTGAGTCAAAAGTACCACTATTGCACTGTATCTGGTAGCAATGGTCAATCCCATTTCATTCATGTCCATCCAATAAGCTTGTGGACAAGGCCCTGAGGTCCAGTCACACTTGCGTATGACCTCAACGTATCTGGTACTGCCAAACATCGTCGTGTACACATTAGCATGCTCGTATAACTCAATAAGCAACTCCCCTCTCACTTGCAGCCATCTTTCTTGATCCCCGTACACGGCTTGAGCAACGCACCGGTACCCACAGTTGTCATCCGTCATCACGTTAACATAATCTTGAATAAGACGGACCATAAATCTGGCACGAAAGAATAAAAGTCGATTCCTTCACATGCAGGTATTATAGGGGCAGCAGATTCTTGTGTGGGAATACGAGAACCACGACATTTCATCTTCGATTGAGGCGTTCCATCAGTGATTGTCTCAACCTTTGCTTTAGGAATCTTTGCACCAGATGAGGTTTGGCGACCCTTGGAACTACAAAATGGCTTAATTGTCTCCTCATCAATATGATACTGCCATTCGGAAGGGTCTCTCTTTGTCGAGTTATTCTTTGATCGTCCTTTGGTCTTAACAAATGATGGCTCGGACAGATGCGACGTAGACGGATAAACGATGCCACGCAATGAGGCCACGACATTTATCTTACTCGTGTAATTTATCTTCTTCGAATTTCAATTCAGGTCATCAATTTGTCTATCCACAATCTCCTCGTGGTTTACTTGATACTCAGGTAGCTCCGAAGGCTCAACTGTCATGGTACTCCAGAATGGATGCAAGTCTGAAATGACGAAGGTGTCATTATCTTCCATTTTCTACACAATTTTGCACGCGCATGGGAGCCCATGAGTATTCCAAAGATAGTGTGTGCAAATACTCGGATCTTGCATCGCCGGGGACTCCATCTCTTGATCCAATTTCTCTAATGCCAGATGCGTAACATAACAAATCAAACCCTGAAAACACGGTCATGCTGCAGTATGCTTCCTTATCTTGGATGATAATGAAAAATCGCACTTCAGCTGACTAATTTGTATATAAACTTAGTCCCGAAGTTTGCCTTGCACGTTATCCAGATCTCCAGTCGAATCATTTAACCAACCATTCGCTGAAGAATGAGCACTCTCCACCCTATCCAATTAAAACAACAATCAAAGTATACAACGACAATCAAATTACAAAATAAATATTATTTTTATATAATATATTTTATCATTTAAATAACTAAAACATGTAATACCTGTTGGTGCTCGTCTTGCCAAAATGATACACATTACGAGTGTAGGCTCGAACAAACTTCTCCTTGTATATCAACCACGTATCATTCAAATACTGTATCAGTCTAGGATACCCTGCATACCGTCTTACAATTTCATTGTAATTGTAATGATAGTCTTCTTCAGTTTCTGATTTCACCAGCTTAGCCCACAGCCCACGTCGAAATATTAAACATTGGTCTTTGTTGCCTCCTATAAATTTCGTTGCATTTGCCTCAACATTTCTGTTTATATAGAATAAACACAACATATGATACGAACATGGGAAGACATTTGGCAGTGCTTTCAAAAGGCCCAACTCCTTGTCCGTCAAGATCGCATCACGTTCGACACCATCTAGCAACTCTTTCAAACAATTCAAAGTCCACTCGTAGGTCTATGCATCTTCATGCGACATAAATGCAACAGTAATTGTAAAATTCCTCCCAACTGGAGTTATCCCAACTATTTCCAAAAGAGCCATTCCATACCTACAACAATGTTGTTTTTACATATTTAAACAATACAATACATTAATACACAATAATCATAATTTAAACAATCGTAATTTTTACTTACTTATTGGTTTTGTATGTGCAGTCCATCAATATAACATACGGGAACAGCCGTAGTAACTTAATAGATTCGGGACATGCAAACATAATATATGTAATCGTGTTGCTCGTTTCACTATCGACGCGATGCCAATATCGATACTCGCCTTGTTGAAAGTTATGCATCATAAACTGAATAAGAGTCATGCCCTCCATTTCCTCAGATTTAATCTTGGCCAACTCATTGTAAACATGCTTCATAGATGTTTGTATCGTCGGATCATCTTTCCTCAATCTATCCATGATGATTAGCATTGGCTTCACGTGAGAATTTCGCAATTCATTAATTCTTGCTTTCTGTTGTGGAGTTATACGACTAGTCGTACCTTGTCCGCGAGGAAACAAAGCCGGACGATGAGTATGTCTGCCATTGCTGACAGTCAACCGCCATAATTCATCAAACCTTGACTTTTTGCCAATCAATTTGAACGGACAACCACATTTTTTTGTTCCAGTGTTTCTAGGATCTTCCACATCGATATTCGTTTGTCGGCCATGTCCGTATTTGTCACACGTCAAGTATTGTGCATTCTCCCTTCTAGACTGACAAATCAAACGGTGACAATGACTAACTGCAGTTGCTTTGGCTCACTTGATTAATTCTTCTCTACTATCGAACACAATATCAACTTGGAAGAAGTGAGAGAAATCTTCACATTCATTTTGATCAGAAACCGAGGGATCAAAATACAAATTGTCATCATATGGCTGCGTAAATAAAAAAAAAAGTTAGATACTTGCAAAAAAAAAAAAAAATACTAGGGATTTCGTGTAAAAGTACACGAAATTAATGTATACATTTCGTGTAGTAATGCACGAAATGAATAACAAAACAGTTTACTGTTGTTTCGTGTGATTTTACACGAAATAAGAGCTATAATTTCGTATTATTTTATACGAAATGACTGGAAACACGAATATGGTGTTAGTTGCGTGCAAAACACCACGAAATGACTTGAATAATTTCGTGATATTTTACACGAAATGACTGAAAATCGAAAAAAATCACACTAAAACGTAATTTTTTACCTCATTTACGGGATCGATGTTGGCCATCTTAATAATCGTTGGGTTTTAACTGATTTCTACGAAAACAAATCACGATTTAGAGGTTGAGAGGATTTTGTAAAAGGTTAAAGTGTTTTTTGACAAATGAATTATTTTGCACTGTAGCTGAAAAAAATTGCACTATGAATAGTAAACCCCATACATATTTCCTATAAATTTAAACATTCAAACACCGGTCAGAGCGGAGTTTTCGTGATTATGCAAACATGAGAGAAATTTGCCTAACGAGGCATTGTTTCAAGGTTTTTTTTTTCTAATAATTTGTCCTATATTCAAATAGATGGCACCAAAATTAAAATATCACAATCAAAAAGAATATATAATTGATATTTGATGGCCCATAAAAGACAAATCTAATAAAAAAATTGATAAAAGTGGGACACATATTATATATATGATTGTGCAAAACTCCACATGTTAATTATATGATTAATAAAAATCCTCCACTAATACGTTTGCTTAACGCACAAGTCCTTTTTTAGGGGTAATTTGTATATTAAATAATATATAGAAATCAGACTTGTGCTAATTAATAAAAAGAAAATGTAATTTTTTTTAGCAATTAGATTAAAAATAGAAAGTGTTTACTTTTCATGCAATAATTAACTCGTATGATTGCACGTGAACTAGAAAAAAGTCTTTACTACAAAGCCCGTGACCGACCGTAACACGTGTCAGTCTTCCCAAACGACAATTAAACCTCTGCATGCTTCTTGCAAACTGCCCACCAATAGTTCCTCATCCATATTTTTTTTTATTATTTAATATTTCTTATATTTATTTTTTATTCGATATAAAATCTTCTAGATTCTGTGTAATTTTCTAGTTTGTATTCATTTGTGAAAATGCAGTCTTTGACGCACCACAATTTGATATTTACAAGCCGAGAGACACATCTTACGATCATCTTGTTTCAAAATGTGGAGTTCGCGCAAATAGGATAAAACGGGTACAAACTGGAGGATATTTCACATAATTTAGAAGATTCCGCTAAATTTGACACCGTAAGAATGTAAGTGTAAGAAGATTCATAATTGATGAGTAGTTGTAATTATCCAAATATGAGGGATTTCGTAATTTCATCTTACAAGAGGGCGTGACCGTAATTTACCCAATTAGTTATTCAAGAAAACTATGATTAATTATAGCATGTATGGCTACACACTATACTGAAACTAGTAAAACAAATGGTCCACTTAACAGTACAATACAAGAAATAAATGATCAAAAAAATACAAAGAAAATTTGTCTTGTACATTTTCATCGTAATAATACCATACAAAATATCTTGACGGTATATTATTGAATTACTTATAAAAGTTATCTTAGATTGTTCAACCAAGTCTTTTACGGTAAAACCTCGATAAATTAATAACTTTGCTTAAATAATATTTTATTTCGGTCCTGACTCGGTAAAAATGTACTAAATTCTTAGTTCGAAAATTTAATATTTCACTAAATTAATAGAATTTTGTTATTACATGGCACCTAATACCTTTTATTTTACTAATGGCACCTAATATTTCAAGGAGTATTTATAATCTTTGAGAGTACTTAGATAAGTATTTTTCAAAATTATAAACTTTTTTTCAAGGATATATTTTACAATTCATCATGTATCAGTATCATCGGCGAATCCATGAATTTATCTGTGTATTGCTCGTATGCCTTCAAAGTTCACAACGGCCCAATAATTCTACACTAAAAAAAGAAAAAAAAAACAAATAATATAGATTATAGATAATAGATAATAAAGTACAAATAATTAATATATTTTCCTAAAAAAATCTAATAAATCTCTATATCATTATATGCTTAGAGCCCATGCACATTTCCTTGTCATGAATAATTAAGACTTTAGGTTGTTCACATGCATGCTAAAATCTTGTAGCTGTTATTTTCAATACTATCACAAAATCTGAATTTTTCCATCTATAAAATCATTCCACCATATTTTCACCAAAGCCAACACTAAATCTTATCCCTTTCTTAGCAATATGGAGCACTCTTCCATTCTTGCAACACTACTCCTCTTCACCATTTGCCTCTCCACATCATCCAATGCCGTTATCCGCGACCCGTGCCCGTCTCCGAAAACGGGTTCGGATTTATCCGTAATCCACATCTACGACAAATGCTCGCCCTTCAACCCGCCGAAGCCCGCCTCTTCGTGGGTCAACACGGTCCTCAACATGGCCTCCAGCGACCCAGAGAGGGTCACCTACCTGTCGAGCCTGGCGGGACAGAAGCCCACATCGGTCCCCGTCGCCTCCGGCCAGGTCATCAGCACCGGCAACTACGTCGTCCGGGCCAAGATTGGGACACCCGGCCAGCTCATGTTCATGGTCATGGACACTAGCAACGACGCCGCGTGGGTCCCGTGCACCGCATGCAATGGCTGCTCATCCACCGCGGCCGCATTCGCGCCAAACACCTCCACCACTTACGGGCCCGTTGACTGCTCAGTCCCAGACTGCACAGCAGTCAGCGGGCTCGCGTGCCCCACCGACGGGTCGGGCAACTGCCAGTTCACCCGACCCTACGGTGGGGACTCGATCTTTTCCGCCACGCTGTCGCGCGACACCCTAACGCTGGGCAACGACACCATCCCCAGCTACGCGTTCGGGTGCGTGAACGCGGTTACGGGCGGGTCGGCTCCGCCCCAGGGTTTACTGGGTCTGGGTCGGGGCTCCATGTCGTTGTTGTCTCAAACCGGGTCGCTCTACTCGGGCGTATTCTCGTACTGCTTGCCGAGCTTCAAGTCGTACTACTTCTCCGGCTCGCTCAAGCTCGGCCCACTCGGCCAGCCCAAGAGCATCAAAACCACACCACTCCTCAAAAACCCGCACCGCCCGTCGCTGTACTACGTAAACCTCATCGGTATCAGCGTGGGCCGGGTCAACGTACCCATTGCACCGGAGCTTCTAGCATTCAACCCGAGTAGCGGTGCGGGTACCATAATCGATTCGGGTACAGTTATAACCCGGTTCGTTCAGCCCATTTACAACGCAACCCGTGACGAGTTCAGGAAGCAGTTGGCGGGCCCGTTTAGTACGCTGGGGGCGTTCGACACTTGCTTTGCTGCGACGAATGATGAGGTGGCGCCGGTTATTACGTTGCACTTCGAGGGTCTGGATTTGAAGTTGCCGTTGGAGAATAGCTTGATACATAGTAGCTCGGGTTCTTTGGCTTGTTTGGCTATGGCGGCTGCGCCGAATAATGTGAACTCGGTGCTGAATGTGATCGCTAATTTGCAGCAACAGAATCTTAGGATTCTGTTCGACACCGTTAACTCCCGTATCGGCATCGCCCGTGAAGTCTGTAATTAGGCTACTTCCATCTCTTCTCTCTCTCTCTCTGGATGTGTACCATCTTTTTTGCCTATTTGAATTCATCTGCCAATTGCCAGTTTAAACAAATATTGCTGATGTATGAATTATGATGAATATTCCATGAGCCTGTATTTTGATTTAATTATTTCAAATCCATCAAATTAACACAATAGCTAATTAAAATGAGAGATTACATTTTAAAAATATATTAAGAAATAAATTTATCCAAACAAGTTCAATAAATTTGTTATTACAAAAATACCAATAAATGAAATCATCCATCGAAGCCACTCGTTTACTGCAATTGTGTAATAAAAAACCTACCATAACAGATGACTACTATACAACAATATTAGTTTTTCTAAATAAAAAAAAAGGTACATGATAATACAATGTATATATTACAAGCGATCGAGAGAAGAAAATAATATGATAGAACATTAAAAAAAAAAAGAAAAAAGAACTTGGGCTAATGCTGGACCACGTTGAACCAGAAAAACAGGGAAGTACGAGCATATATGACACGAACTTGCTGCAGAGAGAGGGTCCCACTCGTCAACACAGCTTTCGCACCACCTTCGATTCTTGTTCTCATTACAGTAACACAGTCGCCGTTATTATTCTTTATTACGGGCTGCGAATGTGAAAGTTGATCGGAGGAAGTTGCAGTTGTGACAATGGCATGAGAGAGATGGTCCAAAGGGTTCGATTCGCACTGAAGAATACATCCGTCAATTGTGAGACGCCCACTCCTATGCAGAAGGCAACAACCAAGCTCTGCCCTCACTGTCAAGTTTGCTAGTTTGCATGTCGATAGAAACTCCAGTGCGCTGTTTGAAGGGATAAGGAAATAAGTGAGTGTAAAATTTTCTTGATGATGAAGAAAATTTCTGTCGATTTTTCGCTAATTAATCGTTTTTTTTTTTTCCTGATTGGACATAATGGGGGATGATGACATTTTTGCCCACAAAATCTTGTTGGGTTTTGGCTAGGGGTGGAAATCGGACGGATTGGATTGAAAATTTGCACTTTTGGGAAAAATTCCTTTTTTTAAAACTGAAAAACTGATTTTAATTTCGTTAAAAAAAAAAACGGATGAGCCGGAATTTTGGAAATTGGAATGAAAAAGCATGTTTCACAATTGGTTTTTTTTTTAATCGGAATCGGTGGGATTCAGGAATTTCCATCTTAGTCACCTAAAATGTAAAATGCATGATAGGAAACGAATTTGGAATTTTCGGAAATTAAAACCGGATCAGAAATTGGAATCTCATATCTTCCAATTCGGATCCCAAAAGTTCTGGAAAAATCGGAGTTTCGGAGTGAAAAAAAATAGTTCCAAAATTGGAATATTTCGAATGGCGGAAATCGGAAATTCAGTTCCAATTTCCACCCACAGGTTTGGCGGCAAAAGATTTACAAATGTGAATTTAATAGGAGATTATATTATTGTTCAGGTTCTCGAGGTAAAAAGCCGACCAACCATTGAATGTAATTAGCACACAAAAGGAGCCCCGAGAAAAACAGAAATCACTCCATTTCTTTAATTTGAGAAACGAGAAACAGAGGCAAAGGGTAATTGAAATACTGTCAAACCTATCAGAGCCACGTGAGCATATGAGTGTTGTATCATCAGGAATTTCACCTGCACCGATCTGCAAATAAAAAAACATGTGGATATAAGGTACTCTTTCTCCCTCGTATGGTACAAGATGCAGGCCAAAGAGTTGAATGCCTTTGACTTAATCGTAAACATAAAGTCAACATGTTGAGCCAAATTCCCGATTTTGACTACCTTGCACACCATCACCCTTGTTTCTCGTCCAAATGTAAGTAGAGAGAAATTCAACAAATGATTTTGAAGATTAATTGCTAATTTTCAAATAAAAGAATCCGAATAATTACCAGACAAAGAGGCTTTTTTATCTGAATATTGGACGTACGGTGAATCCCTCCAGCTGCAATAAGTATAGTGTCGCCGGGCCTGTAAAAAGCGCGTCCAGTTTCAAAAAAAGATCATCTTTTGTTATTCGCTAATTATTTAAATTAAAACTGAATATAATAATGATCATGTGTTGTTGCTTGTTTCACTGACCTGGCAGCAGAGACGGCTGTCTCAATGCTGGGGTAAACTCCTGGTTCAGTCAACTCTTTGACGGAGCGGTCAACTCGAAGCCAATGCTGAGGATGACATGCCAGAAAACGCCATCTGCGGCAAACGAGGGCGGTGTTATACCGATCTGCAAACTCACCACAAAATCATGACACAATACTTCTACTACTACTACTACTACAACAGTTTTTGAAAATACGTGTGCGTCTAGATATACATTTTCTCTATAGCCATTGCGTAATATGGGATAAAATACAGCCAATCTTTACATTCCACTCGAGAACGAAAACTGAAAATTTTACCCATAATGCACGTCTTGTAGTAGTCCTACGAAATTATATACGGTTTACATCCACATTTATAACTCATTGGCGACAAAAAAAAAAAAAAAAAAAAAAAATTGGTCTTTGTGTGGATTGAACAATAAAATAAAATTGAATCTTGGGGAAATTTAATTCATTAAAATAAGAAAAGCGAACCCCAGTTTTGAATAAATTAATCCAAACAGTAGGTAAAATAAGAACAATTTACACAAATTCATAGTAATTACAGTCAACCTATACTTTTTTTTTTTTTTTTAATTATCAAAAAAAAAAAACCCATACTTTTTATTTTTTGCATTAAAACTTTAGTACATTTCCACCACTCTGACCGAATTAAACTCGATTTTTCTACGAAATTGAACTCTGAAATCAAGACAAAAATTCACCCCACAACCTACTCAAAACAAAATTAATTATGCCCAGATGTGGCGATAAATTCATGACAACGATTCAATACAAAATCGAATCAAATCGATAATTTAACCTAAGAAAAACAAAAAATAAGGTAGAAGAAACTGAAAATACCTGGAATGGGGGAGAGGAAGCTGAAAATAAGCATAAGACAGCCATCATCGAGTCGATTTATTTGAGAATCATAAGAGCTTTTCTTCGAGTGGCGACCTAATTTCTTGAATTTAGGTTTATCTGCTGCCGCCTCCATCAATTTCAGATTTTTACCCAAAAATTAATTTTTAGGGATTTTGGGGGAAGAAGCTGTGGATCCTACAGCTATTAACGGTAAATTACACCAACACCCCTAATGTATGCTAAAATAATTTTAAGGTCCCTGTAGTATTGATAATTACAGTCACACCCCTGAAACAATTATCGGGACGAGCGAGACGTGGCTATAGAACGGTGATGGCGCGGCCGGCGGGACGGAGGCAAAAAAATCTGAACAAATATCAATTTGGGGAAAAAAAAACCGAAGGAGAAATGAAATTTGGGGGTAGACGATAGTGGACACTTTGTTAAAGAAAAGAGCAAAATATCAACAAGTCCTACTTAAAAAAAATTATTACCAAAATGTCCCAAAAATTATTATTATTATCTAAAAAGTCACAAAATTAAAATATTAATACTAATTTATCCAATTAGTCATTTTTTAACTCATCCTACTATTTTTTTTTTATTTTTTAATAGACTAGACTATCCTTCAATATATAATAAATATTCTTCCAATTTTATATTAATTGTCACTCTGGACGAAAAAATGTTTATCTTGTATTACATATCACTTTACAATAATGAATTAACTACTTTTTTTATATTGTTATACTTATTACCTTTGAATTGTTTCAAACACTAATTTTTATTAATAAATAAAATAATTTAACATTGAGAGAATTAGTGAGAACGATGGCTAATTTTGTTATATTGGTTGTCCTATAATTCATTCACATTTATAAATATTTTTAATATTGCATGTAATATTTATTTTTTAAAATGTAATAATACTTTGCATATTATTATATTGTAATGTTGGTATTAGAAATATATTTGAAATATTATTTGTTTAGCATTTTAATTAAAATGCTCGTTTCGACCGCGACTGAGTCGCGACGTTGCGATAGAACTAGAACGGCAGTGTCCGCGACGTTCCGGTGAACCATGCTGCGGACCGATAAGAACTATATTTGTTTCTCGCGGGCCACTAATGTTACCATAGAAGAAAATTTATAAAATAATAAATATTTAAGAAATGTATGGAGAGGCATGTCACCCTTTACTCTATGTTGTCTCAATCACTGCCTGAAACTAACAGTCATTTAGAACCATAACATAATAACTTATCCAATTCATTATCCCGTTGGGGTTTCTAGCAATGTTTTAGGGGACGATTATAATTATCAATACTATAGGTATTTTAAAATTATTTTAGTATACCTCAGGGGTGTAGCTGTAATTTACCCTAAAGTTTAATAATATCTGTGTTTTTTCTTTTCTACTTGTTTTTTGGGCTTCGGGAAGATGGTGACCCGACCCGACTAATGTTTACATATATTGGGCTTTAACCTATCGTCTTTCTTCGTCAACACGGCCCAATAGTTTTTATGCTACCAAATAAATAAATATTAAATAAGGATGATAATTGGTCGGTTCCTTGACCAATTTATTTATCGGTTCTTAAGAGATAGGTCCCTGATGACAAAACTAAATAGAACTAAATGATAACATCAACTAAACATTTGCTTTACATCATTTATTAAATTCATTCAAAAAATGTCCTTTCACTCATCTTTATTTTATTGTTTTTTACTTTATCATTTTTTACATTATTATAAACAAATTATTTTTTTCCATTTTTTTGATTTGAAAATTACAAATTTTTCTTTTCGTTTTTATTAAAAAAAAACAGATTTTAAAAACTACTATGGTGTACTATGATATACTATGGTACACTGTTGTATTATAGATTAAAGTATTATTAAAAAAAAATCATTTTTTCTACATAATATTGAAAATTACAAAAACAACGTGTTTTTCGTTTTTTTTTAAATTCAAATTACATTTTTTTTAATTTTTTTAATTTAATCTATTTTTTTTCAATATTGTAGTAGACTATAGTATACTGCGGTGTACTATGATCTACTACGGTGTACTACAAAACCCTAGCAGCCAACAATACAAATCTCACCAACCCTAGCCGTCAAACCCTAACCGCCTACCTTCGCAGCCGTCGCAACCATAGTCAACTATCGACATAGAGAAAACCTAGATTTACCATTTTTAACCCAAATCAAACAAAATCAGAGGCAGTTAGTAAAGAATATACTTTCAATTAAATTTCCACCATAACCACATCCCTCACCACTTCATCGACCTCCATAGCCCCCACCACGGCCGCCACAACCACCATAGCGGGACAGCCCCCATCGCCATCGACCTCCACAGCCCCCACCACGGCCGCAACAACCATCATAGCGGGACAGCCCCCGTCGCCGCCTCGACCATTATGGCGGGACAGCCCCCGGCTCGCATCGACTATCAAAGCCCCCTGCCACCACCTCCACCACCACGACCCCCCGCTGCCGTCTCGTGCACCACAGCCCTTTGCCTTGTGCTACAACTGGAGAAGAAAGCAAGAGAGATATAGAGATGGAAAGGTGATAGAGAAAAACAAACGAGAGAGAGAGAGAGAGAGCGAGAGAGAGAGAGAGAGAGAGAGAGAGAGAGAGAGAGAGAGAGAGAGAGAGAGAGAGAATACCGAAAGAAAAAAATAAATATGAATAAAAGAAACGTGAATATATGTAGGTTAGAGTAGGGTATAAGGGCAAGATTGGGATATAAAAAAAATTAGGGATGTGGCTCATATATTATTTCAAATTAAGGATTTAATTAAAAGAATGAATTTTGACTTGTCATTTAGTTCAAATTAGGTTTAGTTTGAGGGACTCCTAGCATATTACCCCTTTATTTATTTATTTCAAATTCTAGACGACTTATGAGATCCTACACCTGATGAAATATATCATGTGAGTTTAAACCGTAAATCTATATAAATAACTATCCACTAAGCACACATACATGTAGATGTATATTTTATTATATGTAAATCAATAATATAAAACTACATGGTGTATTTCATCAGGTGTAAGTTCTACATAACCATTCCAGACTGGCTCCATGAAAAATATCACAAACCTAGATTTGCTCCCGCTTTAATCTAAACCTAAATTATATTCATCCAAACTCATACCCGTATTTAAATGGTTCGACTCGTCAGACCCTGTTAACATTGAATGAACAACTTAATCTCTTAATTTTTATTTTTCTTATGTTGAATTCTTTCACTTGTTCTCTTGAAATTTATTGTCAGCTGACATCTAGAAGCCGCATTTCTCCGACCATCAGAGATCAAAGCTTTGAAGCGTGGTGGACCACTCCATCACCACATAGAACTTTCACGGGTTTTTCTCAGCAACCCTTAGAGAAGGAAGAGAGACGCCGAGCTACGACTATTGTACGTGTACGATTTTGGATGGGCTTTTGTGTTAGTACTGTAGTGCGTGTCTTCATGAGCAATTTTTTGAAAGCAACCGTAACTCAAACTAACCGAAACCAAAAAGTCGAAACCGTAACTAAAATTGAAACCGAAACCGGACATGTACTTTTGTGCGATTACTTTTGTACATGGTTTAGACCATGTATTTTGTGAATGAGATTTTATTCGAATGTTTTTGTGCATGTTTCTCGATGCATATTAATATACTAGTCTTGTTGTGCGTGGTTTCATGAGCAATTTTTTGAATGCAACCGAAACCGAAACTCAAACTGAAACCGAAACCCAAGCCGAACATGTACTTTTGTGCTATTACTTTTATGCATGATTTCGTACCTGTATTTTTGTAAATGGATTTTTGTTCGAATGTTTTTGTGCATATTTCTCAATGCATATTCATATACTAGTCTTGCAGTGCGTATTTTCATTATCCTTCCAAATTATTCTTTCACTTTAAATATTTGTTTTTCGAATAATGAGAATTACAATTCGATCCGTAATTTCATCTTACTGGCGTTGAAAATTTATTACTTTTTTCTTTCAAGATTTTCTATTAGAAAAAGCATGGAATCAGATCTCCATTCTTTTTCCTCAAACAAATTAAAGAGACCGCACTAACCTAATTGAAATTACGGTTTTGCCCTTGTTGGTCGTTATAAATTACCAACGAAAGACGCACACGTTTGAAAATTGAAAGTTGCTTCTTCCCGCTGGGGGTATATATATTATATTTCGTTGTAGTTGCGCAGCATTTCAAAAATTTGTTGTAGCAACACACACAGTAAAGCGTGTTTGTGTGTGAAAATGGTGGTGGCGGGATTGTACCGGCGCACCCTTCCTTCTCCCCCGGCCATTGATTTCTCTTCACCCGAGGGCAAGGTAATTTTCCTTTTTTACCCCTTCGTGTTTTACTTTTGTGATTGGGAATCAAAAAATGATTATGATTCCGTTCTGAATCTTGTTTATCTGTTCTATTATTTTGATTTTCAAATGTTATGGAATGTTGAAGTTTGGTTTATTGTGCTTGTAACTCAAATGATTTTTTTCTGGTGATTGATTTTTTTCGAGGCGTTTTTTTTACGGCTACCCTTCAGGTAAGGTTAAATTACGAAAAACCCCTCATGTTTGGGTAATCGTAACCACCCTCAACTATGAATCTTCTCACACATCCACACTTGCAGTGTTAAAGTTAGTGAAGTCTTCTAAATTATGTGGAACATTCTTCAATTTGTACCCGTTTTACCCCATTCGAGCTCCACATTTTGAAACAAGATGATCATAAGATGTGTCTCATAACTTGTAAATATTAGAATGTGGTGTATCAGAAACCGCATTTTTGCATAAAACGAGTACAAACTGGAGAACATTCTAGGGAATCTAGAAACTTTTGTTGAATTTGATATCATAAGAGTGGAAGTGTAAGAAGATTTATAGTTGAGGGGTGATTGTAATTACTCAAACATAAAATATTTTTTTCATAATTTGACCTTATCTCAGGGGCTGGCTGTACTTTATCCCTAATATTTGAGAAGATTTTTTTTCGAGGTTTTGAGTGGTCTGATTTTTAGGGAAATGAAGGTTCCTTTGCTTCTGAAATTTAATTATTCTACTTTCTCCACTTAAAATATATTATGTGATGTTGAGTAAATAAATGAGAGAAAATGGATTATAAATCATATATCCCACTCGAACAT